AGCAGTCTTCTGTGGATTTGTCGCTCGATTACTGTGCTGCCTGTCCGCCTTTTGTGTCTCCGTGTCGCCAGGTCTGGGACCGACAAGTGGCTGAATGAATGTCTCTAACAGAGTCTACTCAATTCAATGAACGCTGCGCTACGTTGAAATTCTGGGACCACTACACGCACCGCCACTAAAGAAGCAAGGGAGCGGGAGGTTGTACTGACTGGCCCAGATGCCGTTGCATTGAAGTTCAACCGCACATGCAGTTCTCATGAAGGGGCCTTGATAATTTCAATTAATAAGTTTTTGAGGTATATTTTAACATGACCATAGTGAGGAATCCTAAAACACATGTTACGAACTTCAGGTGTATGGTTCCCTGAAGTTTGGCAGCTGTTTTAGCCGAATAGAGTTGAGTCGACCCTGCTTGCAAAACATGAGAGTTGCAGACAGGAGGCAGAACAGCAACAAAAAAACAGGATCCGGAATATGAGATGCCACCCCATAATTCATGCTGAGCCGAATCCCCACCCCCCCCGCTCAACCTCCACTCAGCCACTGGGCTACCCGACAATCTTCGAGTTGGCCACCACCGGTGCCGCGCTTTCGGCAGCCATCGGGGCGAATCCGCCGGGACCTGGCAAACAGCCGTTTAATCAAGATCCTACAATTACGTTTTACTGTCGGGGATTTCGGATTTTTTGCGATGCTCAACAGATGCGGATTCGCGGTGCCACGCTCTTCGAATACTTCATGCACAGCTCCTGGTTCGACACGACAACGATGCATGCTGCATGCCCTTTCACGACGACACAGACAAAGGAACCTTCACAGTGGCAACAAGCGCAGGAATGTTTGGAGAGAGTAGCGAGAGCGAGTGGGAGGGAGCGAGTTCCTGGGCCTGGAGGTGGTCGGCCGCCCATGGGTGGTCGCGGACCACCCGGTCGAGGCATATTTGGCATCGCCGTCGGCATGTCCTCAGGAGCTTTGCTGATGGCACCGGAAGTGACGGACTTACGAGTCTTGCAGTTTCGGAATTTCGTCAGCTTTCCGTCTTGCGGAAACAGTTCGGCTAACAGATCATAGTATCAGGAAACTCAATCCTATCCTATCTGACACCGAGGCTGCGTCGGGCATCGCTGGCATGAGAGGCGGCGCAGAAGGGATTCCTCCTGCTCAGTGGACTGTTGAAGCTGCTACATGTACTTGGACCGCCTGCCTTGCGAGAATCCCCGGAGCACTTGCGTTTAAATCGAATGCGGGGCTTTTCAATCCACGCTGCATGCTCTGACGTGCAGCGTCCGTTGAGCGGGGGCCATGGCGGTTCGACGCCGAAACATCGATCCCTATCCTTCCGTGGGCAGCACTAGCGTATGGCGTATACTGCCGCCTTGCATTCTTACCCGTATCGCGCGACCCGCAGCTGCCCCGGGTCCTTCGGAATCCTTCCTCAGCACGCCAAGTGCGGGAGAACAAGAACCCCACTCTTTCCATCGAGACATCCAAACAGGCTCTCAAGGCCCCTCTGCCGTGGCCCTGGCGAGCTCTCCACCAACTCAAAGATGCCATCGCACAGGGAGGTGCCGAAGTCGTAGCCTGCAGGTTCCAGGAAGCTCTCAGTGTGAAATCAAAGCCCAGCTTGAGGGCCGCTAAAGTGTCACACGGGACTGGTAATTTCAGAGCAATTTATACCGACATTCACCGATGTGTAAGACTCTTTCATGACATGCCCGGCTGCCAGAAGCCGAGAAAGTTCCGGCCTATGTCCTTGGACTTGTTGGCGGCTTTTTCGGCCTGGTCACGACAGCAGCTGTCCCGCGATGGAGGAACTGATATGCACCCGGTCGTTGGCCTAGGGGCTGTTATGCAAGGTCTGGGTCGGGAGGCCGTTTGAATTACTTCAAATACTTCTCGGAGACGAGATACAGCCAGATGTGACATCGTCATGCCTCGCGCTTGGCCGTCAGCATGTCATGTCTGAGAATCGCAACCTTGGGTGTTTGCGGCAGGGATGAAGGCTTGCCAGGAGGCTTGCAGCGATATGAGTTGAGGCTTTGCGTACCGGATGGAATTTGAGGCACACGCGTAGGATCGGAGGATGAATCCGATAATCTGTCCGGTTTCATCCTCGCACCAGATAACATGGAACAGGCAGCTCATGAACCAGTTTCCAATCGGAAAAGCTACGAAATTTCGACATGCTCCGTTCAAGGCTCAGTCTTGGCGCCGACGGGGTGAGGGCCAGATAGGCCACAAGAGCCGAATCAACTGCATGCTACATCTCGCAACTCTCATTGGCTGATTGAAGAGCACGGACCCCTGTGCAGTGCCTAGCCAGCCGATATTTCAAACCAGCTCGGCAAAGCTCCCGGCCCTAAAAAGTGAACTACACCTACACTAGCTTCGTTCCTGAAGGTCGTTGCACAAGGTCTCACCTTCCTCGACGTGGACCATGGCCTGGGCCGTTGTCTGGTCACAGCACGTAGGGACACAAACTCTGGCTGCTTCGCGAGCATCGCCCGCAACTTGAACAGCAGCTATGGGCCTGAGTTGATGGTTAGTATCAGGGGAGCAGCGGGGCTCACAGTTTAAAGCTCTGGCACATAAGACCTCGCTGAACGTCAGAGTGGGGCGCACCTGGTCTGCATCCTTAATGGCCAAAAAGGTCTGAGCCTGGGCAGTGTCGAATCGCAGAGTGATCTTTTGATTCAGATATGTTGGGCTACCGGGCTATGTGGGCTGCAAATGTTTGGCACAAGGCTCCGGACTGTCCGGACTCCGAGAAAGGATGTCATTTCACTGTTCACTTTCCTCCACTCCACGCCCCGCACTGAATGGTTCCTGCAAGGCTTGCATGCCCCATGCTGCCATGTTATCAGTGCTCTGGCCGATCGGGTGCCAAGCAAGGAGATACTCGATGGGCGCGAGCAGTGCTTTGGTCTTCTCGGTGCCATCCTCCTCGAAGACTACGTGCCTGTCGTGACTAGCTGAAAGCCCAACTGCACGGGAAGCTCGCAAGAAATAGCATGAATAATTAGAATACGGCTTTGGGGCATGTCAGAGTATGCATGCAATAAGGAAGCCTAACAGAACAGAATAGCATTGGTAATTAATCAGGCTTCTATATTTGATTCAAAGGCTTATGGCCGGTTGTTCTGAGTCTGCCCGAAAGCTCGCCTGCAACGGCAATGGCCCCTGCTAACAGCTACGTCTGGCAACAAGCTGCGACAGAATTTTCTACAGAAGCATCTTTCTTCCTTCGACCATAGACTTGATTAGCCAATTCCGAAGACCTCAGCATTCATGCATGACAGTATCCAGACACTGAAGTCACCACAGAACAGATGTCCCCCGATCCACAGCCCCTGTATGCCGCGGCCGAGGCGTGGCAGCAGAATCTTGAACATCAGCGAACTACGTACGAGAAGCCAGCAATCAGAACAGAAACACCAGTGGAAAGGCAAAGAGAAATTGAGAAATATAGCCACAAACAATCTTGCCAGCATCACGCCGCATCTCGAGCTCTCCAGGCTGCCTGCGAATAAATTCATGTTCATGTGCCAGACTGTCAGGGGCATGGGATCGAAAAAGTCAGCGCACCCGAAACACCCAAAACTCTCAACCTGAACGTCATGCTAAAGCACCCTAAACTCCCTTCAAACCTGAAGCTCTGCAACTCCCCAGCAAAATATATCTGAGGAGCCGAAAATCGTGCGGCCTCAACTGTGGGATTTCGAAGTTTTTTCCTTCTGGGAGCCCCAATACCCTGACGCCATAAAACCCAAACGGCAGGCTGCAGAACCATACTCCTAACAGGGCGGGGCTTGACTTGACAATGCCCTGCCTGCACCGTTTCCTCGATAAGAGAGAAGTCCGGCTCCTGTTATCAAACCCAGTTGAGGGGCTCAGGTTGCACTCGGAGTTTAAGGGTTTCGGACTATGGCTAAGGCGAATAAACTGGCCCAAACAATGGCTGCACATCTCTGCGATTTGTGTGCTTGTGAACATTGTAAGTATAGTATATTATATTACTTATACTATATTCTATTTTGTATGCCAGAACGGTCTGTGCTTCTCATTGGCCGCTCCTCCTTAGGAGCTTTGGAGATCTCTGCCACCATGTTGGACAAGTGGATCTGCGCCTTGGCAGTGCCAAGCCGTACCCAGAGAACCCAAATACCCCTTAATTAAGGAATATGCCTTAAACTGTAGGGGCCTTAGTATTATGATTTAAGGTATATTCCGTAATTCAGGGGTATTGGGTTCTCTGGGTAAGCCTCAATCGGCCAGGGCTAAGCCGCCGAAGGTTTCAGGCGGAAGGTGCAAATTTCTGTTCTGCGCTCGAAGACTCTCCTGAAGGTTTCGCCAGCTCTACAAATCACGCAATAGGGATCGTAGGATCCGGGAGCAGGGAGACTTGTTTCTGCATACTTTGCGAAAATCACCGCGTAGAAAACCTTGCTGGCCCAGCTGATCGAGCCACATGTCCAAGCTTTGTGCAGGGCTCGCACTGGTCCTCCCAGTCCCAGCCACACTAGAGAGGGGCCTTAATGAAATGGGGCAGGGTTCCTTTAAACGGGTTATACGATAAGGGGCCTTAGTAATTAGAAAAGGGTTCCTCTAAAGGTCTTACTACACTATACTACTAACTATAAGGGTTGTAGGTAGGGCTCCGCGGCTATGTGCGTGGCAGTGCATGGCGTGCTACGCTGAGACTGAGACCCAGCAGTCGATGTCCGTACTGCTCTAAGACTATTTGAAGCTGTGTTTTCCCAGAGGACTACAAAGCTGCCATGGCTAGTCTGCGATGTCTACGAGTCCACTATGAACTGTGCGAACAGAACGGAGGACATGGAATACATGGAGCCATACAGAACCCCTGGAAGGCTATGAGCTGCTTTTGCCTTGTGGGATTTGGTGCTGGTCACATGATCCAAGCCTGCAACATGTACTGACCACGCACTGTCGGTGCAAATCATTCCTGTCCCAGCTTGACAGGAGCTCACAATGTGCCCTCACATGGATGGAGCCTCAGGCCGCGCGGCCTGTCCGAAACAAGAAATGCCGTCTGCCATGTCGTGATGCCACTGTTGCACGGAAAAGGCTGTCGAGATCGCGATGCTTCGGATGCTGCTGAAGGGACAGGACAGGCCGCTATAATCATTAGGCGTGATTAGGGAAGTTTCGTCCCCTCGTGGATACCTCAAGGTTGGCAGCCCCGCATCCCCACCACTCCCCCCAAACAAGGTCTCTGCCTTGTAGAAGTCGGCGAAAACTTGTCCGAGAACCTGTGCAACAAAAACTCGGCTCAACCATGCAAGGAGTGTCCTTGTAAATATAGTTAGCACCATCATGGTAACTCTTGCGGTAACTCCTTGTAGTACCCTTATAATAGTTGGATTTGGATGCTGCCTTCCCCACTAACAGAGGTCCCAAGCCTGCACCCTCACGTTGCGTGACAGAAGCGAGGGGTTTCAGGTTTCAGGGTTTTAGAAACTAAAACACTGAAGTCGTTGCTAAGGTTCTCGTCCCAAAGGCTATGGTCACTCCAAGCAGAAAGATCTCAACCTAAACCCTACCTGAACTCTGTGGGAGCTGCCTTTTCAGGTTTATGGGTCCTAAATAACTATAGAGGAGATCTGTAGCGCTGCGTGAGATCCTGAACCAACATATATGGGCTTCATAGTTATAACAGGGTTTGAGGTAAAGTATACTTAGTATCGATGTATCAGGGAACGCTAAAGAAGAGCATCGGTAAAGGTATTCATGACTCCGATGGCCTCTTGAGCACTGAAGTCGACCACTGCCACGAAGCCTGGAAGTCGCAGGTTCGGGTTGAAATCAGATCTGGGCGTGGGCGTCTTCCGGGGTGTTTTTTTTCCCTCTCGCATGGCTGAGGGGTGTTAGGGTTTACGGGTTTAGGGAGTAGGGGTTTACGGGCTTGAGGGGGGGAGGGCGAAACAGGGCGAAACTCTTTCTGTGCGGCGGTTTTACAGTGACAGTGACACATGTTACGAGCAGTGAATTGAAGCCGGATTATCTTGGATCACGAACTTCTCAGCTACTCGAGGAATGTTGCAGTGCAACAACCCATGCGACATGAAGGCCTCTGGTCCCATGTAGGCCCAGTCACAGTCAACGAAACATGCGCAGGTCTCAGCATCTGGAGAAGCGGGGCATGGAGTGCAAGCTGCAAAGGTTTGAGCTGTACTGCAATGCCAGAAAAATCAGGCCTGTATAGGCCGCGACGAGAAGCAGGACGATACCAAAGGTCTGGGCAACTTCACCTGCAAGCCGTGTCAATGTCTTCAGAACACCTTGGCACGGAGGCCGTTGCGTTTACGAGATTCGGATGGCCTCGGAAGATTCCAACCCCAATTTTTCAGGCGCACCCGTTGCTAGAGGCCACTTGTTTCTGCGGATAAGCTGACTTGAAAGCTTGCAGCCGACGCCGCCCACTGCCACCCCTCATGGCTGACATTCTCGACCCTGTTGTTCCTGTGTTATTCCTGTGGTTTTGTCTGGACCTTGCTGCTGCTTTGGCCAGACCGGGTGTAGCAACTGTAGCAACAAATGAGGAGCGCAACACCACTCACCAGAACAACACTGCGATGCAGAATCGCGATTAACTAGCAATAAGCAGCCTGTGATGATCCCACGGTTCTGCAAGCGTCTACACTAGTTGTGGCGGTGCTAGTCCTGTTGTAGTCGTCGTCGTAGTAGTGGTAGCGGTGGTAGTGGTGGTGGTAGTGGTGGTGGTAGTAGTAGTAGTAGTAGTGGTGGTGGCTGCACTCACTAGTCGCAGCAGGAGCAAGTGTAGGAGTAGGAGTAGGAGTATTAGGAGCAGCAGGAGAAGCAGTAGTAGCAGTAGTGGTAGGAAAGGTCGAGGTAGTGGCAGTGGCAGCACCAGTATCAGTAGCGGCAGTAAGAGCAGGCGGAGGAGAAGGCGGAAGCGGAGGAGGAGGAGGAGGATCGGCAGCAGCAGCAACCATCGCAAGCTAAGAGCAAGCAAGGAAGCAGTATGTTGCCGTAGCAGTATAGCAGTTTAGTGGTGGGATATGGCCAACACTGTCAGCAGATATTTGCCAGCATACTTGTTCAGTTTAGGACGAAGAGCGGGGCATCATGCTACAAAAGTCACCACTGTGTTGTGACCAAAGAAATCAGACATGGAAGTACTTCGAACAGGGGACAGTGCAACACTAAAGCTCGCAATAGCTGCACAGCCTGGCCATGTAGCTGGGTGAAGGCGCAATTGGGAAGGTGCACTGACGCGGCTGGGTTCTGAAAACGGTATGATCCGCCTAGTGGCGCATACCCCCGTCGCTTTGATGGATGACTGATGGGCAATGCTTCCTTACTTCCCCATCCACATGGACCTCTTGTGGTTGCAGAACAATCATCATGCAGCAGGTTGATAAAACAGTGGGTGTTTCTGTGTGGAAAGGGGCTCAGTGGCACCACGAGCCACATCCACGCTTGGCTGGGGCACCCTAGCCGTTGCACCAAACGTGCGGTGCGACTGACGCCCTGGATGCCGCAAAGTTCTGCGTCCGGAGATTACACGAGAATGACCATTCTACGATGTCAGGAAGCACGATCAGCCAGCGGTAAATGACCGCTGCGAGCATCAGATTTTCTCTCTCGCGCTCCCAGGGAAGGGAGAGAATCCACCACGTCTCAATCATGCCCACAATCAGAACGCAACCAAGCATGCCATCTCCCACCTGGCGTTGGCAGTGTGACGACCTGCAGGTCCTGCGACATGTGAGAAGTGTATGAAGCTAGCACGAGGTGGAGCATGCAGAAACGACACGTCTATCCACTCTGAGTCTGCTCCACTCCTATCACATATCCATATAGAAGTCGAGCGATGCAGGTCTACTCTTGCGAACGCAGGGTCCTCGGCCAGCTGAAATAAAATGAACTTGCCTTCCTTCTTCTTCTCTGGAGTTTCTGGCTGGAGTTCGGGCACATCCTTCTCTGATCCCGCAAAGGCATCCTGAACCTTGCTGCACACAAGCGCTTGGCCAGACTGCTGCACGGTACTGCACATGTCAGGGTTGATATGTCATTTCTATATACGTATTCATGTGGGGGGAAGAAATGCAATGCGGCACATCGAAGTCTATCGATGTGACAAGGTTCGCCAATCGATTCAACAAGTCATGTATCTTCCACGTGAGGGCTGCTGCAGACACAGTGCTGCAGTTTTTGTTATGAGGGTGAAGGGCTTAGGGTGAAACCCCACTCTGCCTTAACTTCCTCCTCATCATCGGTCACGTCCGTCACCGTGACATTCCCGGACACTTTGGCCTCGACTGCCTCTAGCAGCTGTTGAGAAAGCGCGGCTGTACTGTAGGGCTCCGAGGTTTCAGTCTCAGAAGCCGGACCGTTCCGACTGTACGTAACGACGTAAGTCTGCTGGTTTCGCTGACTGGGCAGCGTGGACCCCAGCTCCCTCAACAGAACAAATAAAGCTGTTAACGAAGGAAGATTCGCAGCTTGTGCCAGACAGGTATGTGTGTGTATATATATATATACACATAATATATGTATGTACTTAAGCCTCCTGACAACCAGTCTCAATGTGCGTGGCAGGAACTTCCATGCGCTGAAGGTGACGGATGGTAACGGGCCAGAGGCGGCAAAGCCCCAAGCAAGAACCCTCCACCTCTAATCCCTGCTTACTGAGGGCCCTGATCCTTGAAGCAGCATGCTGGCCTCCTTGGCAGCACCAGCCTCCGCAAGGTCCAAAGTGCCTGGTCACCAGGTTTAGGCTTTGGAAAACAATGCCAGCGGATTCATTGAATGCAGTTTCGTGGACCGAAGGCGTTCCGACAATCAGAAACCGCAATTCTTTACAAACCCCAAACCCAAAATACGAAGAGATATCCCCACAATCCAGACGATAAACAGTAACACCCCGATAACGCTGACTAAACCCTGCCAAAATTCACAAAACCGGGTCTGGAAGTCCAGACGCACCTGTGGCGGGGCCGGGGACCACCTCGGGCTCGGCTTCTGCTTCCTCCTCGTCCTCGCGCAGCTTTGGAGGTTTGTCCCTTATTCACAGGGGGTTGGAAAAATGTTCAAGAGATTTATACAAAGGATTACAAAGGTTTGATGAACATTGATTATGAGCAGGGTTTCTATAGGGCTCTCGTGAGCGGCTTCAGTTTACAACGGTTTGTGGGCTTCGTTGCGAGCTTTCGGGTTGTGGGTTTGAAAAGCTTACTCCTTACGGAGTTATTGGGACCCTTGTCCGCACATATGGCTTCGACTCTCACAACGTGAACGTGGCGGACCGGGTAAGACTGGATTTTCGCGTTTCTGGACTTCTGCATTATACCACCTGCTTTGTTTGTCATAGTCTTAGGCTGACAGCCTCTGGGTTGAAGTGCTTCAAACCTCCAAGCTCGTCAAAGAGGACTTCCACGATATGTCTTTATCGAGCCTACAACGGTCTTGCGAAGAGCATCTGGCCAAAAATTCCCGGGTTGGGGAAGGGGCGGCGGGGGGTTGGGGGGCGGTTCTTAAAACTGGGGATGCCTGTTTGCTCTTAGATTCCAAGCGGTCTTCCACGATGTCGGGGTCTGCACAAGCTGGGTTCTGTTGGGGTCCAGTTCTTCTGGTAAAAGGCGGAGGGCAGCGGCCGCTATTATCCTTACATGTACGTATACATATAAATTTGTATGCTACAGAATAACTAATCGAATGTGTTCGAACAAAGTATGGAACCATCGCTTACGTACATAGAATCATATGAATGAACCCTAAACCAACCAGAGACGCTAGCTGGAGACGCCTTCCGGAGCACAGGTTGCTGCAAATGTTGCACGGGCGCACGCTAGGAATGACATTTCCATGGAAGGCGAGCTAGACAGGCAGCGACACCATGGCTCACAGAACATCATGGACCATTTGGGGAGTGGATGCCACGTAGAATGCCGGTCATCCGAATCTCGATGTGCCACGGGACGGAGCTTTCAAGTCTTTTCCAAGTCTACCTCCGACGGATGAGTTTCGGTATGGAAGCATCACGGCATTGAGATGCTGCATGTGTGAATGTAGCACCTGCGCTACCCACTTCCAGGGCGTTCAGCGCAAATCCGCTCAACGTGCTTGAAAGCAGCTGTCCGATTGCATCTCGCCCTTGCGCTGCTATCGTTACCACGACGGCAGCCATGTCCTGCTGCCAGCCACAGCCTGGCTGTCGTCTTGCCGCAAATTCGGTCGGAAGTCAACCAGGCGGCAACGGAAGTGTGATCTAGAAATCCTGCAGGTTTCTTGGAGCATCGGCTGGTTGTCTCAGCAGACTCTGCGGCAGTAGGCAACGGTGCTCTAGACACCATGCAGCAAGAAGCAGGGATGCTTTCTTCAAAACTGATGCCTGCAGCAGAATCGTGCGTGCGCGGGGGGTTGGTGTGATGACACGGACGAAGCCAAATGTGGCTATGGCATGGGTGTATGTAAGCCCCAATCTTCGCACAAGGCCGAAATAACAACACATGAACAAAGACGAACAACGAGTGCCACTTAATTACCTGGCATGTTCATCCGCCTCACAAAACATTACAGTCACTGATTCGCCGGGCTACACTGCACCTATAATCATCATAATAATAGTAATAATCGTAACTATTATTATTACAATAAGCACAAAAATGATAAGAATACTGGTAATAGCTGTAATAATCGTAATACCTGTAATATTTATGATATTGCTACTACACACTACGACCAATGATAGCAATAAGATAAATATACAATACTCTTCCGGGCCTCTTCCGGCAAAGGGTCGTTGGGCCCCAATCCGAGCTGGATTCGCCGGATGCGCTCTCGGGCGGCTTTGAACCTGGGAGGTGTTTAGACATATATATACACACACACACACATATATATATATGTGTGTGTGTGTGTATGTATGTATATATTATACTATACTATACTCTATTATATTATATTATATTATATTATATTATATATTATATTATATATTATATATTATATTATATATGATATTATATTATATATTATATTATATAT